TGTGATAGGCTTCCCCACCTGCCATGTAGGGCAGCAGCCTGAGGATGTCTATGTAGGGAGATGATCAATAAAAACATTTCTAGGAAATGCCCTGTACCTTCAAATAATTCCTTGGCTTCCGGGAAAGAAGTCCAGATAACTTGAATGTTATCTTGGTAAAAATGTTGAAGTGAATCGTGATCTCAATTCCTGCCTCTCCTAGGTTTTCTTTTCTTTCTAAATCAAAGAGCAGTTTAACATTAGTAGAGGTTTATTAATTGTCTATTGTTGTACCATAAGTTGCCTGCAAACTTACCAGCTTCAAACCACCAACATTTATTATCTCCCAGTTTCTGAGGGGCAGGGTTTCGGGGTGGCTTACCTTGGTAGTGCTGGCTCAGGGTGTCTCTTGAGGTTATGGTTAGGGGGTCAGTAGGGCTTCAGTTATCTGAAGGCTTAGGACTGGAAAGACTGAAAGACTCTGAAAGATCAGAAAGATTAGGACTGTCAGATGAGCTTCCAAGAAGACTCGCCCATGGCTCTTGGCAGGAGGCCTCAGTTCCTTTCTATATGAGCCCTCCTACAGTGTCCTTAGGACAAGCAGCTGGCTTTCCCTGGAGTGAGTGGTCAGAGACAGAAAGAGAGAAGAGAAAGAGAACAAATGAGAAACTACAGTGGTTTTTATGAATTAGTCTCCAAAGTCACTCAACCATCACTTTTTCTTTATTTGTTAGAAGCGAGTCACTAAGTCCTTCCCACATTAAAGGGGAGCAGAACTAAACTCCAACTCTTAAAGGAAGGGATATCAAAGAATTTGGGAACACGTATTAAAATTACCACAGTTGTACTTGTCATTTAAAGTTCACAAAGAGTTTCCAAACATTGTTTCTTCAAGAATTCTCAACAGCAGAGGTGTCTTTCTCACCTGTCACGAAGGCGCAGGGCCTCTTGCTCTAGAAGAACTATCGTATATTATCAAACTCTTGTATAAATCTCTGCTTCTGCCTTTATCCTATGGCATTCTGGGCAGAATGTGTATTAGCAAGTGGAGAAATGGTAATGTGCTGAGACATTTTGATGTACTCAAACAGAGCATTTCCTGTGGTTTTAAGATTCCCCCATCATTTTATTTTCATTATCATGAGGATGGTATCACTGAAGAGCAAGTATACATGGACTGACTGACTTATTTTGTGAGCATTGAGCATCTCTAAATCTGTCGTTCTCCTTGAAAAGACAAATGTAAACAAATTACATGTTCATAGAGAAAGTTTAGAAAAGAGCATCAGAACATACTAGAGTAGACATTAGGATAGTAATAAAGCTATTTGTTTATAGTACCCTCTTGAGAAATGTTAAGTGTTTCTAAGATATTAACTTAGGGAACTGTCAGTGAGACAGGGATGGTTTGGAGGTTTTTTTTTTAACTTTTATATTAGTATAAAGTAAAAATCTGGGTACACAGATCTATGAATTAGAACACATGTACAGATTCTAATAACCACTACCACAACCAAGAAACCAAGCAATTCCATCACCTCCAAAATCTTTCTCATACTATTCCTTCATGTCTTCCCCAATCCATAATGCATTTCAATCTTTAATCTTTTTTCCATCACCATAGTTTTGTCTGAAAGTACCATATAAACAGATTCATACAGTATCTAATCTTTTGAGACTAAATTCTTTCATTCAGCACAATGCTTTTGAGATTCATCCAAGGTGCAGTAGCAATAGTTTATTCCTTTTTATTGTTAAGTAGTATTCATTTGTATGGATGTACCACAGTTTGTTTGTACATTCATCTGCTGGAGGACATTTGAGTTATTTCTGGCTTTTGGCAATTATGAATAGAGCCACTACATGCATTTATGTACAAGTGTTTTAATGAACATAAATTTTCATTTCTCTAGGGTAAATGTGTAGGATTGGGATTAGCAAGTCACTTGGTAATTGAATGTATAATTTTATAAAAACTGTCAAACCATTTTCAAGAGTAGCTGTACCATTTTGCTTTCTTGCCAGCAATGTATGAGTTCCAGCTGCTTCACATGATTACCAAAACTTGCAATTATCAGAATGTCTATTTTAGTCCGTCTGTTAACTGTGTAGTAGTTTTTTAATTTGCATTTCCCTAACAGCTAATGATATTGAACAGTTTTTCAATAAAAGATGTTTGTCCTCTGTATATCCTCTTTCATGAAGTGTCTGTTCACATCTTGTTTATTTTTAAATGGATTATTTTCTTATCCTTGGGTTTTGTGAGTTCTTTTCATGTTGTGCTTTTGTTGTCAGGTCTAAGAACTCTTTGCCTAAATCCAGGTCAAGAATATTTTTCCTATGCTTTCTTTTAAAAGTTTTATATTTTATATTTATAACTATGATCAATTTTAGTTAAATTTTGCATAATGTGTGAGGTTTAGATTGGGAATTATCTATCTATGTATCTATATCTATCTATCTATCTATCTATTGTAGGTATAACCAAATTATTTCAGCACCATTTGTTGAAAAGCCTATGCTTTCTCCATTGAATTGCCTGTGCACTTTTGTCAAAAATCAACTGGCCATGTTTATGTTGGTCTATTTTTGGACTCTTTATTCTGTTGAGATTTTTCTGGTTCTTCATATACTGAGTAATATGTATCATATCCTGGGCGTTCTGAATCTGATGATATGAGACCATGGGTCTTGTTTAAATCCTATGAAGACTACTGATAGATTTTGTTCTAGCAGGCACTTATACTGGTTAGGTTCAGGTCACTCATTTCAATCAGCCTTCTAGAGATTGTGGTTTTAACGCAGAGTCCATTTTCAAAGAATTTGTAATCCTGTTCAGAT